CTTACACTAAGTTTGAAATCTTTCTACAAACTTATCAAAAGATCTCATTTGCTCAATTCAAACCCCGACATTCCCTTAGTTCAGTTCCATCAAAGTGAAGCATTTGGAAGGTGTTACAGTAGAAGAAAAAAAAATCATTTTCAACTAACATTAAAAAATTTTCTCGTAATTAAAATAATTTTCTAGAACCAATGTTTAAATTAAGTTCAAAGCATCCCTTTGTTAGTAAGTCGACTACTGTGACATGATAAAGCTGAGGACTTGTTTTATTGTTCACAGAGTTTTAATTTCATGTTGGCCTTTGATATGCAAGTCTCAAAGGAATTTCTGCTGTTAACCACAGTCTGGTGGGTGACCTACGGTTCGAGAAATAAGGGTTAAAAACCTGCATGTGCAGGTATATAAAAGTTGTGATTTCTCACAAGCAATATGTAAGGTATATCGACTATGTATGAAGCAATAGAGATGACACTTAACCCAATTTTCTGTAATATAGATTTTTAGATATACTATCTCATCTTATCATTTCTTTTTTATCACTTTTTCTGTCAATTTGAAGGATAATACTATTTCAAGAACAAAAAAAAAAGAAAATTAATGGTGTAAAAACCAATTACACGTAATAGGCATTCATTTTGATAATGACTTTTCATCTGTCGTAATACCTTACAATTTTGCAGTTAAACTTTAAAGTCAGTAGCTCTATTTTATGGAAGCTTGAAAAATTTTCAAGTTAAGGTAATGTTATGATTTGAAATGAGAGAAAATAAAATGTAAATTGCTGTGAAGAAATGAAACGTTAAATGTTTATCTAAAGGTAATTCAACAGAAATCAACAAAGTACGAAGTTCAGAAAAAGGAAGTTTCATAATAATATTATCGTGAAGGAAACAAAATTACCGTCATGATTTTTGCATAGTATTCAATGAATCAACTTTATGGATTCAATAAACTCTCGTTACTCTAATTGGTGTAAGTAGAAAAATCAATCTGCGATCAGACGTAAATTTATTCCAGGAATTGAGAATATTTGAATTAATAAAAAAATAATAAATAAAAAGTAAATAATATTAAATTGTAGGATAGACGTTTTTCTTATGTTTAATATGCTTATAATCATCCAATTTCATTATGTGTCACATGCTTCAAACTGTGGAACGTTAGATATGTATTATCGAACTGCATCACAGAGCCAATTTGCCTCAGGCACATTCATGTGTAATAAGTTCCATGTTACTATTTAATAGACTAGCTGAACTACGTAGCAACCGCAAATTATGGATGTCACGTAAGTTTCTGACACCGTATCGAAACTTAGTTTTACTCTAAATAACGATCTTGAGCTTTTTGAATGACAGAATTATCAAGATAACCTCTCAAGATTTTTTGAAACCCTAGAACTTGGACTGGATTTCTTCGTAAAAAAATAACTTCTTCTCAAGAAAACTTCAATACTCATGTGTTTCCGGAAACAAATAGAAAAAAATATTAATCTACTATTGATTTTTTTGCTGCAGTTACAATTTTATACACTGATTGAAATCATTTTATACGAAGTTAAATGGATTTAACTTTCTATGAATAAAAGTGGAATTAAAGTAAATTTTACTAGACTTACTAGACTATAAAGTAGTTCTTATTTTCACGTAGAAACGAGTAAAAATTACTAGACTCTTCTTTCCGTGTAAAGGCTCTGTTTATTGCACCAATAGATTTTCTGTAAACACAAGAAAAATCAAGACTGTTGCTGGAACCAACCTCTGATCTGTTGCGGCAACAAAATATTTTTACCTTGTGCCAGCCTTAAAAAGAGAAAAAGATCAAGGAAAATCCATTCACGGAATAACACAGAAATGGAAATACCTTAAATAAATACCATGATAACTTTATGTATGTGTAATGGAAAAAATATTAAATATTACTGTAATACTTTATTTGAAAATATGTAAGCTTGTATAGTATCAGCATAACTTTCATTGATAATCTGATGATATACATTTTCTCTCTTTACAATTTTAATATGAAATATACAGAGTATATGTATATATGTATAAAACGGACTTCTTTTCATACGATAAGATATCTAAGGAAGAAATACCAGTTATCTTTTCCTTTACTCCAAATACAAGCAATTCACATTGAGGAATCTTGACGTCAGATTTAATTTCGATAGGAAATCCAGTGAGTTGTTATCATTCGGTAAACTTTGTTGAAATGTTTTTCTTCAATCATTTAAATGACTGCAGCTGACATCTTTGCATTCCGTTTAATTCTCTCATTTCTTCTTTCTACCATACGTCTTTCGTAAGATTAATGAAATTAATCAAAATATATTCCAAGATAAAAATTCATATAATTAAAGAAGTTATTGCTTGAAAAGTTCGATTTAATAAAACGATAAACGTGAAAAGTATTCTGAAGGGTAAAAACGAAGAACTTAACAGTTAAAGTAAGACGTTCTATGGTGCAGAAGGCTACTTAGGAACGATGATCCTTGAGATGAGAGGTGGAGAAAACATTGTTAATTTCCCTTGCAAATTCGAGTGTCACTCCTCAAGTTCTTTCGCTCTCTATATACATATATATTGGTCTATTCTCGTTCTCATATAATATAATTATTCGAGAAATTGAATAAATTAATACTACTTCGAATAAATAATAAATTGGCATTATATCAGATAATTTACAAATTAAATCATTTTATCTAATAAAAGTTATTCATCAAGTAGAAGTAGTTAGTTAGAAAAAAAGGTGTAAATCAGATGTATAATCAAGTGGTGAAAAAGATTTTTATTCAGGGCGAGAATCTTTTAATCTCTTAAGCGAAAAAAATATCACGAGATTGCTACAGTTGGTGTAAATGTAAAGGGATGAAAGTGAAATTGGCAAATGCTGTATCATCCCAGTGAATATATATTCCCCTCAATCATCGAGTCTTCAGAAGGGTACCAGCATCAACGCAGACACGCACATACAGCAGATTGTGTAACGAGGGTAGCAAACCCTTTAACTCATGCTATATACAAGATAGAAAGCTATATAGGTATATAAGTGAGAGTAGGTTAGGCGCTAACGTGTTCAGGGATTGTCTGGATGCCCCTGATGATCACTTTATATTAGGCAAGGGGAATCTGCATGACAATAGGCTACCCTATTGTGCGGTAAACGCTTTGCACCAACCCTCCTTGCCCCTACTGCCTGACAACCGCGTCTGTCTTCATTCTGGTTCACGCGCCCTCCCATAAAGTCTCCAGCAACTAATAAATACAATTTACGAGAAAAATTTGTAACTCAGACAGACTCAAATTTCTATCAATTTTTCACATTTAAGATCCCTTTGTTTCTGGTATAAATTCACTTTCTGCTGATGGTAATGTAATGTAATTGAAAAAAAATTCATCATTATCACGAAATTTAATTTGTTCTGCAACCTTAGGATAATAAGAATTCTTTCATAAAGTCCTAGTAAATTAAAATTCAACTTATTTTTAATTATCTCACTCAGTGGACTGTTGAGTTATTTAAAGGTAGATGACATTCTGTTTTATTTCAAAATGTACACATGAGATTTATTTAACTATTGACATTCAAAATAGAACGACAGAATCATCACTCCGACGAATATATTCGTTATTTACCATGAGCTTCATATGAAAAAAAAATAGACTTTACTATATTTTCATCTAGAATAGTAACATACCAGATTTACCATTAATTGTCCTGGATTTCATTAAAAAATATCCTTTTATTCCAATGAAAATAAAAAATATTTGATCAAACTTGTTATATCATATCATAAATTGTTTTTACTTCAATAACAACATTACAAAATCAAGGAAAAATCTGTTATCTTTTACAAAGAAAAATACCAATATTTTTTTAATACAATTTTAAATGATAAAATTTTTGCTTTGTTGGTTTCATTTCATTTTAATATTCGTTACATGTGACTGAAAGATTAAAACGAAATCCTGAGCTTTTTGTTGGTATAAGTACTTCATCAAATGTGATCAGCAAAGTGAAAATTTTTTTGTACTAATGCAAAAAGGAATCATGATCTTATCATCAGAAACAGAAGTGTATTTTCATCGAGGTACATATAGATGTACAATGATGTAAACTTTGTATTACCAACGACAGCTGATGTTTTCATTGCGTGAAGTACAGCCGTCTAGACGTATTCACAGCCACAAAGCCGTAGACTTTTGTAACACACAGTTGTTTTCTCTACTCCGATTTACCGCTTGTGCAATTCGTATTTTATTTCGCTATCTTGTTTTCTATGAGAACACTCTTTTAACGTGAGCTTTCCACGTTACTATTCAATCTAGATTTTCCCTGGAGGCTAGCGACGTGAGAATGATATGAAACTCAAGATGTGAATTGCTCGGATATAGTTGCCAACAATATTTGAATTCCTTACATTCTATTTTTCATCTTTATACTTCCTTATTTATGTCTCAAGAAACAACACGATAAAAGCAAAAAATTCCATCAATTTTTTAAACAAAATTCATCAAACAAAAACAAAGACAAGTTTAGTAATAATATAACTATATAGTTCATTTTGAATATTTAAAAACATTCCATAAAATTTTGATAAACTATTTACGTGGTAAAGCTGACAAGTTGTTACTTTCCCGTGAAATCCTCTAGCTAAAATGCATGCTACTTCAAAGTAAATTTGAAGTGAAATGCTTGACAGATGAAAGTCCCTTTATACTTAACATTGACAAGAAGGGTAAAAAGGCATCTGTATCCACAAGACCGAGGGGTTGCTAGAATTTTGCGGTCATAAGTTCATCTTACATTTAAAGTTGTATTTTATATCAAAGCATAATTGAAAATCTTTATGACTTTCAATGAAATAACCTGTTTAAAGCCATGATAATAAGAAGAAACGTCTATCATAATTTTTTTAATCTTTTTTTCAATGCTATCTCATTTCTTTTTATTATTCTTCTAATTTAATGTTAAAATGAAATTACTCTACGTTAGAATTTAATTAATAGTTTATATTATTTAGATTTTTACATATGTTTTATTATTTAACTGTAAATCTGGACTTGATAAATCTCTTAAAGTACCACTTCCAAAGTTTAATCTTCCTTTTGTTTCTTCGGACTTATATGGGATACATATTTCTTTTTGTTTATTATCTCTCAGTGTCATCAATAGTGTAGAATTTTTAGTCCAATGTTCAACGGTCTATTTTTAATATTAATATTATTTTATATTAATTACAGGAATTTTGTAAATTATTAAAATCTGAAATATTTTAAATAATTACCTTCAAAACAGAACACAATTCTTTTTCTTTATTCGTTGAATGATTTGTACAATTTAAACCCTCAATGAATAAATTCGTATGGTTTAGGCAAGTAAAATTACTGCTACAACCTGTTAAACTGAATTTCACTGAGGTCAAGTTGATATTTTTCTAAAAGAAAAAAAAAATTAATTAACAAATTCTGTTAGTCCATTTAAAATAGATGAAAAAAGCTTAATTGAAATCTTGCGAATTTTTAAGATTACGAACCTCACCAAGAGTGATATTTGCTTCGAAATTAATCAGACTGCCAGAAGGTGTCACAGATATATTTTTCATCCACCAAGAATCTTTATCACAGTCGTCAAAAGATATTTCTCGACTGATCTGTGAAAAACATTAATGAAAAAGTAGAAAAAAAAAGATGTAACGTTTAATAAAGTCTTGTATTTTCTTAATCAATAGAACATGTGGCAGATAACAAAAAAATTTTCGTTAAAAGTAGACTTAAAGTACAATAAAAAAGAAAACTATGGCATCGAAAGATTTTTCCCTCTGTAACATGACAGATAAAATAAGAAAGGGTGTTCAAAGCAGCTGGCGACCGAATGCAATGTGCTTGCGAGGGCCTTTACGTTAAGTTGCCAAAGAAGACATAAAATTCTGCTGACATCTCGGTCACTCTACATTCTTAAATTTGCCACCATCTACATTCACAGAACCAGGTGTTTTCAATTACGTTATATTTTTTTTCTTATTAATGTCCATTATTTTGTTAAAATTGAAAATATTCAAGTAATTTATTGAAGTGCAAAAAAAACTTAGCATGTATTATTAACTTCATTAAATCTTATATTTAGTAAATGATGAAAGAAATTTCTACCTTCATAAAATATAATAAATCATAAAAATTAAAATTGCTAGTAATTATGATTGATAAAATAATTATAGCATATTATTATAATATTGAAGTAAATTTATGAGGTCATTTATTTGATGAGCATGACAATGGCTATGAAAAGCACGGAAACGTGAGTTACGAGGTACTATTCGTTTTTTTATGTGCAACCGCAAAATCCTGACCATTAAGTGCAAAATACAATATAATGTGAGTCCACTCTTTCCTTCATTTCTCATTCTCTTTCGTTCTTTTGTGCGTGATAGTCACCATTTCATGCGAAATGACCGGTGACCACGTCCATCATGGATGCCTCTAGGCTATATGAGAGTTCTCAAAAGGGCTGGTGCACATATTCTCAACCATATACGTACAAATAGCCTTTGTAAAAGGTATACAAGTAACTGCGGTGTTAGTACATCAATCACAAAAACCACATCAAGCATACAATTTATTTTAAATTTTGTCCGAAAGTAAATTCATCCAAATAAAGCAAGTATATTGTTAGAAGAAATTTTTTTGCACTTACATTCTTCGACTTAACAGCTGTGAATGACGAAACTAAAAGGAGAAAAATATAAAAAGACTTCATAATTGGAATACTGGATTGGATTTTTCTTCTCTTTTTTATCTAATATAATTGTGTCCTGATACTAGTGATTTTTTATCCAACACAGTGTCAAGTATATAAAATGTAAATATTACAACTTAAAACAATAAAAGTTAAGAGTCAATTGAATAGTTAGATGGAGCAAGAGTGAATAATAACGTTTAAACTCTGTAGCGAAACTGATGAAATATCAGATTGTTATGAACAATTATAATTGCCAATTAAAAATTAAAGCTCAAGAATACAACATGCATTGACTGGGGAATAATTACACTGTGTACAAGCATAAAACTTGATATTGACAAAAAAGAAAATTACTTGTCAAGAATATTTTCAAGTGTCAATAACTCTCAAATATACCTCCGAGATAATGATTTATCTATCGAACTTGATTAATTTAATTAATACTTTTTTATAAAACAATATAAGCTTACAATTTCGAATGACATAAAAATATATATTTAAAATGATGATGATGAATCAATAAAAGTGATTGAAATATTGTGAATGAAGAGGATTATTAAGAGTATTATTATGTTTATTATTATTTATGCTATTACAATATATAATTTTAAAATACATTGAAAACAAAATAACCATTTCAATTATTAGTAATAAAATACGTATATATGTACTAGTGTGATTTCACCATAGAAAAGACCCTGAGTGAGACTATTAAAATAACCATTAGTGGCTTAGATAATCGCACCAAAGTACGCGTCATGAATTTCAATGAGCCGTAACAATTAACGTTCACTTTGCGTATATGCTATGTAGCCTAATAATCTCTATAAATGTATTTATATTTCATTCGTGGTTTTAATATAGATTACGAATATTAAATAAAAATAATTGATGTGTAAAAAATGATTATTTATTATCAATATTATTTAACTGCATATCAAAGTAGGGACTAACGGAAATGCTTGAAATGCAAAGAAACGAACGAAAAGGTATCAATATTCTAACTTTTCTTTCTTCCATTTCCATATTGGCCACGTTCGTGATACGTGATAAGTTTATGAATGAACTTCAATTCTAACCTAGAGATATTTATAGCGAATTAAGAATGATATGTGATACTTTTGAAATTATATTTCTATCGAACATTGTCAAGTAGAAATGGTAAATAATCTCTTGATGGGTGGATCAAGAAAGGCTTTTTCCACTGCAATGAGTCATAACGAGGTGGCTGTATGATTATACTTTACCACTTCGCTTACATTTCTGAGGCGAGTACGTGACCTTTTAACGCATCGTCAAGCATATTTCTCGTCTCGTTGTAAAATCAACTTGCTTCTACTATGATTTTACTTGGTCGTAGTAGAATACGAAATATAATCATGATGCTTGGACGATTTTAATCACTGTGTGTGACATCGAGACAACAAAAGTCTCGTGCATTCATCTAGAATTCTAACAAGTCTGCTTTGTAATGGTTTCTTGCCTCAGGGAATTGTTTTATAAAACAAAAGTCGTTTTTACATTTATTTTTTGTTTTTTTTTACATTGAAAAAATATTTAATTCAACCTATGTACGTAATCTGTATATAGGTATAGATGTATACTATATTAATGGAAATCTATTCCATTTATTTTCTCTTATTTTCCATTTTAAAATAATATTCATAGACCTCATCAATCTCACGCACTTGGTCTGCAATTAGACTTAACGGCAATTTTCGCCATCCGTTTTAATTAACGTGCAGTAATTTCTGGTCGCAAGTTTCTCCCTATTTTCGTATGAAACAAATTAAGGAGTACAAGGGTTCTTGAAGTTCTCATAACCACCTTAGTAACATACACTATTGTCATCGTTGCTACTTAGCCTAATCAAAACTTGATATAATTGTGATTCTTTTTCATTAAAAAAAAGTTCCATCAATATTAATGATAATTTATCATTTATACTAATTAATTTGGAATATATATTTTTTGTGTAAAATTATTAACCTCGGAATATTTAATGTTAACAAACTTTGAGTATTCAGTTTTACGTCCGTACCTTTAATTAAATTCGTACAAATGAAAATGGATTTACTCGGCGAATTATTGAAATACTAATAATCCGACAAAAAATAATGGAATTTAAAAAGTTCTTCAATATTATTCGTCAAAATTCTATTAAAAGAAAAAACAAATAAAAGTAAGATATAAATGTGAATTAAAATAAGTCATTTTTGAGTATTAGTCAAAAATGACATATTTTTAAATTAAAGTATAGATTCATATCACAAAAAAAAAAAATCTTTAATGCAGATATCTTCAAGAATACTAGTATCCCTATTTGATGTTTGTCCCTCTGACTTTCATACTTATATCTATATTATATAGAAGCCGTCGTCGCCGGTGTGCAATGCCTAAGGCAAGCCATTAGGCGGCAACAATGCACACCCCTTTTCCTAGACTTTTATACACGTATTTCCGCCATTACCGCACATTCTATGTCGCAATAAATTCTTTGCCTCTGGCATTTAAATTCTTTAAGGGCATTCTGAATACTTTAATCCTCCCTTTCTTTCTTTTCAAGTGTAGCAGCGTAGCATTGAAGTATTTTTTAAAGAAACAAAACGCCACGTTGCATATGTTACTTCTAGCAACAATGTCACTCTTTCTCGTCCCTCCTTCCTTCTTTTCTCTTTTATGGAGAAATTCAAAAATCGGTTTATATTTAAGTACTATGGAGTAAAGTATTTCTGCCAATACTTAAAAGTTGGAAAAGTAAAGTTCTCGAGTGACATTTGGCAAGCTAGAGATTAAATCGTAGTGGTTACACGCGTTAAATCGCATCAACGATCGCCCATCTAATAGCATCCGGTCCATTCGTGCGAACATTTGGGCTCAGTGGAATGTAACGCGTTTCAGTCGCTGTAGCAATTGAAATAGTTGATGGCAAGTCGCCGGAAAGGAGTTGGAACATGTGAAATTGAATTCATTTAATACCGCCAAATACATTTTCTCAGCTAACTTAAGTGAAATAGTAACATTACCATAAATTCAATGGAATCTGGAAATTATTGTATCAATGAACAAAACTATTGAGATTAATTAGTTTCAACTATTTCAGTTTATGATTCAGTTTGTTTTAAAAAAAGAAAGCCAGTGGAAAATTAAAAATTCCTCTCTGCATCCCTTTTTTCAGTTGAAGGCGTGACTCACACGTGTTCCAATTCCGCTTATGATACTTTCAAATATATTCTCCCTTGAGTCACTTTACTCGTTCCCTAAACTATTTCCATCAATTTTCTAGGGTAAAGAATAATTTTATACACCCTAGAAACGACTATTAATATTATCATTATTTTATTACATTTTTTTATCAATTTATTTTGATGTCTACCGTTAAATTATTAAGTTAATTTCACGACAACAACTCTACGATGTTATATCGAGTTATTAACACTCAGGCACTTATGATTGACGCTAGAATCAAACCTGTCACTGTATTATATGTACACAAGAGTTGACATCGACAAGTAAATTAATCGATTCATTGCTCTAGTTATATACGAAATCGTTACGAATCTCACCCTCATTTCTCTTGCAATTCGCTTCGTCCAAGTGGTGTATCAGAAGCATTCAATCAAAATGTACGACTATTTGTTGAAAATGAAATATTTTACATTCTTTTGATGAAGAATAATTTTTAACTCATATTTTACTTGGAAAAGAGAATAAAAATTTTGACATTGTAATAATTTTATTGGGAAATATAATTTAGGTACTATTATTGGAAACATGAAATTTTCGAAATGAAAATATTGGATAACCTTTTATAATATGCTATTTCAATTTTTCTGTGACTTCTAATGTTATTTGAATAACAGAGAGAAGTTAGGTTGAGTCACAGTATTGGTACTCTAAAGTAGGGAAATACAGTTAAATATTAACACTGTGCTTGGCATTTGCATTAGTAATATGATGCTGCCAAGAGATGTGCACATAAGGAGAGAAAATCTCTTACATTTAGTTTCTCTCTTTCTGTTGCTTTTTGCTTTAAAAGTTTCCGTTTACATATGAATATTAACGTAAAGAAACAATGAATAAATAAAAATAAAATCTCTCTATATATTTCTACCATAGGAATATTACTAAAAGGAAAATATAAACAAAAATGTTCTCTCACAAGTACACTTTAACAATTAAAAATACATTTTTTTAAATGTGATTTTAAAAAAATATTATTTCAAAGTGTTGGTGAACTATTTTAATTATAAACGTTGACTGTTTCATTTTTATATTTATCTTTTTGACACAAAATATCATGACAACATTTTATTTCAAAGATATACAGTAGTTGGCTGAAATGTTAGTTACATGTCATTGATACGAAAATACTCGTCGCTTTTCACTAACATACCAAGAAAATCCAAAATGTGTTAGTTTGAGTAGAATGTATGTGAAGTATAACGATAGAATATACAAAATAAAGTGTAAGAAGAAAGAGACATGACAAAAATGCGGAGCATTTCCACTTGGTCCTGCATACTTTCCACCTACTATCAAGCAACATGAGTAAAATGTGGGTTACATGATTTATATATGGAAGCACTTTCTGCGTTAAGAGCAAAGCTGGTTGGTAATATAATACTTGACGGTGGTTGAAATATTGTAAAAAAATTTCATTTTCGAAAACCAAAGTAAAAACTATAAGTTTGAATTGAAATGAAAAAATTAATTAGATTCTTTTAAAAGATAGAGTTCGCGTAATTAAATGAGAAAATTCATTAATCCACTTGGCTGCACACAGATTGAAGCAATTACTCTCAGTAGTAAAGGAAAAATATCGAGTTCCTTTTCTACTGAAAACTAGTGATACGTATCAAAGTGCAGGTGAACACAAGAATACATTTTCAAGAGGTTGGACTTATATTTTTGCTGTTCTCATGAATTTCATAGTACCTATAAATCAGAGGTGTAAAAATTCATATTCTTCAGACAGAGAAATGGAAATGCTAGAAGAATGTGTCATGCAATCAACTTGGCTGAAGATGCTTATATAAATATGTAAGTAGTAAATGCTACATATATTTTCAAATATAAATATTACAATTCTAATTGTAAGTTTCACTTAATAATTATTCTAAATAATACTGTAAATTTTTGATTAATAAATTGCTAGTTCAGTGGCTCATTCACTGCATGTC